CCTCCGCCTCCTGGGTTCAGGCAACTCTCCTACCTCAGCCTCCTGAGTAGCTGAGATTACAGGCACGCACCACCATGCCCAGCTAATTTTTTGTAGTTTTTTAGTAGAGATGGGGTTTCACCATGTTGACCAGGACGGTCTCGATCTCTTGACCTCGTGATCCACCCGCCTCGGCCTCCCAAAGTGCTGGTATTACAGGCTTGAGCCACCGCGCCCGGCCTGATTTGGCTTTCTTTAAGTCTTATTGGTGTATAGAAATGCTTGTGATTTTTGCACATCGATTTTGTACCCTGAGACTGCTGAAGTTGCTTATCAGTTTCAGGAGATTTTGGGCTGAGACGATAGGGTCTTCTAAATATACAGTCATGTCATCTGCAAATAGAGACAATTTGACTTCCTCCTTTCCTAATTGAATACCCTTTATTTCTTTTTCTTGCCTGATTGCCCTGGCTAGAACTTCCAATACTATATTGAATAGGAGTAGTGAGAGAGGGCATCCTTGTCTAGTGGCAGATTTCAAAGGGAATGCTTCCAGTTTTTGCCTATTCAGTATGATATGGACTGTGGGTTTGTCATAAATAGCTTTTATTATTTTGAGATACGTTCTGTCAATACCTAGTTTATTCAGAGTTTTTAGCATAAAGCACTGTTGAATTTTGTCAAAGGCCTTCTCTGCATCTATTGAGATAATCATGTGGTTTTTGTGTTTGTTCTGTTTATGCGGTGAATTACATTTATAGACTTGCATATGTTGAACGAGCCTTGCATCCCCAGGATGAAGCCTACTTCATTGTGATGGATAAGCTTTTTGATGTGCTGTTACAATCAGTTTGCCAATATTTATTGAAGATTTTTGCATCTATGTTCATCATGGATATTGGCCTGAAGTTTTCTTTTCTTGTAGAGTCTCTGCTGGGTTTTGGTATCAGGAAGATGTTGGTCTCATAAAATGATTTGGGAAGGATTCCCTCTTTTTGGATTGTTAGGAATAGTTTCAGAAGGAGTGGTACCAGCTCCTCTTTGTATGACTGGTAGAATTCGGCTGTGAACCCATCTGGCCCTGGGCTTTCTTTGGTGGGTAGGCTATTAATTGCTGCCTCAACTTCAGCCCTTGTTATTGGTCTATTCAGGATTTTGACTTCTTCCTGGTTTAGGCTTGGGGGGATGCAAGTGTCCAGGAATTCATCCATTTCTTCCAAGTTTACTGGTTTATGTGCATAGAGTTGTTTGTAGTAATCTCTGATGATGGTTTGTATTTCTGTGGAATCTGTGGTGATATCCCCTTTATCGTTTTTTTATTGCATCTATTTGATTCTTCTCTCTTTTCTTTTTTATTAATCTGTCTAGTGGTCTGTCTATTTTGTTGATCTTTACAAAAAAACAGCTCCTGGATTTATTGATTTTTTTGAAGAGTTTTTTTTGTATGTGTCTCTCCTTCAGTTCTGCTCCGATTTTAGTTATTTCTTGTCTTCTGCTAGCTTTTGAGGTTTTTTAAATCTTCCTCCTCTAGCTCTTTCCATTTTGACGATAGGGTGTTGATTTTAGATATTTCCTTGCTTCTCATTTTGGTATTTATTGCTATATATTTTCCTCTAGACACTGCTTTAAATGTGTCCCAGAGATTCTAGTATGTTGTGTCTTCGTTCTCGTTGGTTTCGAAGAACATCTTTATTTCTGCCTTCATTTCATTGTTTATCCAGTCAACATTCAAGAGCCACTTCTTCAGTGTCCACGAAGCTGTGTGGTTCTGAGTTAGTTTCTGAATTCTGAGTTCTAACTTGATTGCACTGTGGTCTGTGAGACTGTTATGTTTTCCGTTCTTTTGCATTTGCTGAGGAGTGATTCACTTCCAATTATGTGGTCAGTTTTAGAGTAGGCATGATGTGGTGCTGAGAAGGTTGTATATTCTGTGGATTTGGGGTGGAGAGTTCTGTAAATGTCTATTACGTTTTCTGGGTCCAGGTCTGAGTTCAAGTCCTGGATATCCTTGTTAATTTTCTGTCTTGTTGATCTAATATTGACAGTGGAGTGTTAGAGTCTCCCACTATTATTGTCTGGGTGTCTAAGTCTCTTTGTAAGTCATTAAGAACTTGCTTTACGTATCTGGGTGCTCCTGTATTGGGTGCGTATATATTTAGTTAGGATCGTTAGCTCTTCTTGTTGCATTGATCCTTTTACCGTTATGTAATGTCTTTCTTTATCTCTTTTGATTTTTGTTGGTTTAAAGTTTATTTTATCAGAGACTAGGATTGCAACTCCTGCCTTTTTTTTGCTCTCCATTTGCTTGGTAAATCTTCCTCCATCCCTGTATTTTGAGCCTATGTGTATTCTTGCATGTGAGATGAGTTTCCTAGATACAGCACACCGATGGGCTTTGGCTTTTTATCCAACTTGCCAGTCTGTGTCTTTCGATTGAGGTTTTTAACCCATTTACATTTAGGGTTAATATTGTTATGTGTGAATTTGATCCTGCCATTTTGACGCTAACTGGTTGTTTTGCCTGTTAGTTGATGCAGTTTCTTCATTGTGTCGCTGCTCTTTACCTTTTGGTACGTTTTTGGAGTGGCTGGTACTGGTTGTTCCTTTCAATGTTTAGTGCTTCTTTCAGGAGCTCTTATAAAGCAGGCCTGGTGGTGATGAAATCTCTGAGTAATTGCTTGTTCATAAAAGATTTTATTTCTCCTTCGCTTATTAAACTTAGTTTGGCTGGATATGAAATCCTAGGTTGAAACTTCTTTTCCTTAAGGATGTTGAATATTGGCCCCCACTCTCTTCTGGCTTGTCGGGTTTCTGTGGAGAGATCTGCTGTGAGTCTGATGGGCTTCCCCTTGTGAGTGACCCGACCTTTCTCTCTGGCAGCCCTTAGCATTTTCTCCTTCATTTCAACCCTGGCGAATCTGACCATTATGTGCTTTGGGGTTGCTCTTCTTGAGGAATATCTTTGTGGTGTTCTCTGTATTTCCTGGACTTGAATATTGGCCTGCCTTGCTAGGCTGGGGGTAAGTTTTCCTGGATAATATCCTGAAGAGTGTTTTCCAGCTTGGATTCGATGGCTCTGAAAAGAGCCATTGTATTGTAAAGTGATTTATGGAGACATTATTTGCCCTTGGCCTTGTGGTGGTTCTCGATCTTCTTGGGCAGCAGCATGGCCTGAATGTTGGGCAGGACACCACCCTGCGTGATGGTGACCTTGCCCAGCAGCTTGTTGAGCTCCTCATCGTTGTGGATGGCCAGCTGCAGGTGGCGCAGGATGATGTGGGTCTTCTTGTTGTCATGTCCCGCGTTGCCCACCGGCTCCAGGATCTCGGCCGTCAGGTACTTCAGCACCACCACCAGGTAGACTGGTGCGCTGGCCCCAGCCGGCTTAGCGTAGTTGCCCTTGCGGAGCAGGCGGTGCACGCGGCCCACGAGGCCCACGGGGAACTGGAGCCTGTCCGGAGAACAGCGGGTCTTAGCTGTGGTGCGGGCTTTACCTCCCTGCTTGCTGTGTCCGGACATGATGAAGAAACGATCAACGAAGGGCAAAGAACAGCTTTGCTGAGTCATTCTTATAGTTAATCTTTGGATTCCTTGATAAATCTTGAGTGTTTATTGGCTAGTATTTTTTTTAAATGTTTTAAAAATCTGAAGCCCAGAATTCCATCTATAAGTTACTTGTTTTGTAGGAAATGAGACAACATGATGTGCAGGAACTGAATCGAATCCTCTTCAGTGCTTTGGAAACCTCTTTAGTTGGGACCTCCGGTCATGACCTTATCAATCGTCTGTATCACGGAACCATTGTTAACCAGATTGTTTGTAAAGAATGTAAGAATGTCAGCGAGAGGCAGGTAAATACGAAAGAGTATTTGAATAATAAGTTATGTTGCAAATTATAATTTATGTAATTAAATGTATGATCTGTAATACTATACAAGGATTAAAGTGTTCATTACAGGCTGGGCGAGGTGGCTCACACCTGTAATCTCAGCAATTTGGGGGGCCGAGGTGGGTGGATCACCTGAGGTCAGGTGTTCCAGACCAGCCTGACCAACATGGAGAAACCCCATCTCTACTAAAAATACAAGATTAGCCAGGCATGGTGGCACATGCCTATAATTCCAGCTACTTGGGAGGCTGAGGCAGGAGACTCACTTGAACCCAGGAGGCAGAGGTTGCAGTCAGCCAAGATCACGCCACTGCACTCCAGCCTGAGCAACCAGAGCGAAACTCCATCTCAAAAAAAAAAAAAAAAACTACTTATTACTAAAAATAAGTTATTCCTTTTTTTTTGTTCTAACTATACTGAAATCATAGCCTGTAATCCAGATTTCTCCATGTAGACTGAAAGAAGCAAATATCTTGAAACTTAATCTTTTATTCAGTACCCTAATATTTGAAAAATAGATTTAGGGGATATTTACAAATAGAAGACTGTGGCCTCATGTGAGAAGGCAATGTCATCATGGTTAGAATATTATAAAGGAAGTTAATTAGGGAGGTAATAAAAATAGACAATACAGAGGAGTGTTTAATTTGACAAACATCTGTAGTTAAATTTTGGATTTAGTTTATTAATATTCTTCAGAAAGTTCATTTATATATATCTGTACCTGTTTTTATATATTATATATAAGGCTATTATAATCCTGTATTAATTATTATAATCTTCAGTTGTTTGTAAAGACACAGATTGCCCATTTAATCTAATTGGAAATTGGAAATTGGAAATTTGCTCATGTAAATATAATCCTGTTTGCTCTACACATCTTACATAGTCAGTGATTTTTATCACTGAATTTAGCACTGATCCTTTAATAAAAGACTGCTTTTGTTTTTTATGGCAACGGAGTTTGTGTATTTGTATGAGGACAAAATTACCATTTTCAAAATGTGTTAATTGCCTTTTTGAAAATAGATGTCTATATAAAAAAATGTGATTTTTAAAAAGCGTTGGTATTTTAAAAAATGCTTCTTGCGCCTATTGCCTGTGCTAATAGAAGCTTTCTTGTTCAGCCTCGTTTGGAAATAAAAAGATGTTGTATGTGTCTTTGAATTACTGCATGCTTGACTTAGCTGTGATGTAGTAAATCAAGAGTATTTTCAGAACAATATATGTAAGACCATTATAAATTAAAGACTAACTTCTCACATATATATATTATAAACCATATACTGTATCAGTGTTACTTTTAGTACTTAAAATTTTCACCATGAGTTAACAAGTGCCCTATTTTCATTCCCCAAAATCTTTTAAAATAAAGCTGTTGCACACACATACAGAACTGAGTTAAATTTGCCAAATTGTAATAATGTATTGCTAGAAATATTGTGATTCAAACATAGTTATAGCGGAATTCATAAACCCTCTTTTTACAAAATTTTCTTTAACTTTTATAGAAAGACCTTTTTATCCTATCTTAATAAAATTTTTTTTTATTTTGAGATGGTGTCTCTCTCTGTTGCCCAGGCTGGAGTGCAGTGGCGCCATCTGGGCTCACTGCAACTTCCGCCTTCCAGGTTCAAGTGATTCTCCTGCCTCAGCCTCCCAAGTACCTGGGATTATAGGCATACGCCACCACACCCAGCAAATTTTTTGTATTTTTAGTAGAGATGAGGTTTTACCATATTGACCAGGGTGGACAAACAAGTTTTTTCTTATAACTTCTTCAGTATGTTTTAAGGCAACCCCAGCAAAAGAAGATAAAGAAATGGAGTTTACATTAGAAAATTCAACCCTGCCCGTGCTCTTATATTCTAGTCTAGAGACTAATACAGTACTGTATACCTATATATCTACTTCTGAATTCAGATATGTGTTTTATTGTGGTTTTTATTTCCGCATAAAACAGATTTTATTGTATCTGCAGTAAACTCATAAACTTTTCTTATCAATTTTTTTCTAACATATTTTAAGCTAAATTATAGTTTGATTTCAAAATAATAATTTAGTGTTAATTAGGAGATCTACATCTTTATATGTAGTGTTTTAGAAAACATACCTGATTATTCCCAGTATATGTGTGAGTTGGTGATGTGTTTGTAAACCTCTGAAATTGTTTTTCAATATTTATATTCATGCCTATTTCAGGAAGACTTCTTAGATCTAACAGTAGCAGTCAAAAATGTATCTGGTTTGGAAGATGCTCTCTGGAACATGTATGTAGAAGAGGAAGTTTTTGATTGTGACAACTTGTACCACTGTGGAACTTGTGACAAGCTGGTTAAAGCAGCAAAGGTAAAGATAGAGACCCACTTCTTCCCAGGTTCCCCACTTCGTACTTAGTCCAAGTTAGCTTGTATGAAAAAGTCTGGAGCATGTACTGGAAGCTGTTGACACTAAGTATTGAAAATATATTTATATCATTATCTGTATTTTAATTTTTTACAATAAAGAATTTTTAACACTTTCAACCCAGCAATTACCTCAACTTTCTTATCTCTGGGGAAAAGTTCATTTGTACCTCAGTGTTTCATAAGTATCCCTGCTTTTTGCAATTACTGTTATGAAAAAAGATGTATGTATTTTTATTTCTGCCACTGAGAAGCTTGTTGAGCTTTCCTTTCTTTGTTTACTACTGTAAAAATAGATGGCTATTTTCGTTTTCTTAATATACAGTTATTTTATAATCTTGATATATGTTCTTCCTCACGTTGGCAAATCTAATATAGTCTTAACTCCTCTCCCAGGTGGGAGTACTTAACTTGCTAACTAAGAAACTTAGCAGAATACTTCTGGTTTTCTTTCTACACAGGCAAGCAAAATATAAGATGAAAGGAAGACAAGATTAAAGCAACTGATTTCTTTTGCCATGTGAGAGCGAAGAGAAAAGTAAAACAAACCAATAAACATAGAATTCTGATATTTCCCAAATTTATTCATCATATTCATACATCAATGGCTATTCCTGTAGTATAATTCATAGTTATTTTCCGTTCCAGGAAAGAAGAGACACTTTGATAAGAGGAAAAATGAAAGGCAACTACTGTTTAGTGGAATACCTCCCTGGCGTTATTTTCATGCGTCCTAAGTTTGGCACATTCCAGCTCCTTTCTGCAATGGCAAGGATTTATTATATCAGGACTTTTGGCATTTCTGAAAATCTGCCACATATTGGTGTTTTATCTCAGTCCTGATGGGAGGTCTCTCTCTGTGCTTTACTGACCATGCCTTTGGGTCCAGGATATCTGTTTGTTCTAAGGGAGTCTGACACCTGAATAACTCTTTTTGGAGAACAGATTTTAGAAAAACGTTTTGTGGGTTTTCTTTTCCCGCTTTATCTTGGAGCAGCCATTCATTTACATTTTCTTTTCACAATTTCCTGTGATTTCTCACTGTGGAATTGTTCTTTAATGTATTTTTCACACAGTTAATTTCCACCAAAAGCATTACCAATGCTAGTTAATTGCTAAATACTAGTAATTCATTAACATTACTATAAAAATGATTATTATAGATAATTCATAAATGTTCTATTTCTATGTATGTATATATTATTCATACCATTTCCTCTGACCTGGATGTGCTGTCTCTAACCTTCTCTGGCCTGTATTCTCAGCTTCTTGTACCTATGACCAATATGGCATCAACCCTGCTGCTGTCGTTATTTATTTCTGCAGTGGTGACATTCCCCTGCTTTAGATGATGTGATGAGCTGTTCATAATCATCATCAACTTGAGCTGAGTTCACTTAGTGGTTACTGAACATTGTCTTAAACAGCTACCATGAGAGACACATTTATGCGGTCACTCATTATGACAGAGATAGCACTATTCCTATAGCTGACAATTAGTCAGTTTTTCCAACAAATAAAATGAGCATTGATTTAGATAATATACAGTTCTGAATTTGTATCCTGGAGATTATAGATGAAACTATAATAAAACCTTAAACCCTATGCCTGTAGGTTTCACAGGAAGATTGAATTTTATACTGTTTCATGTGTATTTCTATCCAGTCTTTGCCCTTTCATCAAACTCAAAGAGAGAGGTTTATTATTTGCTTATTTATTTTGTATTTCATCTTTGGTGTATAAACTTCAGAGTGTGGAATAGTGTTAGAAAGATACTTACACATTCAGTTTTTGGTTAGACTTCATGTTCACATTAACAAAATAAGAAACTTTTGCTAAACAAATGCAGTTTTTAAATATACTTTTTATAGCATTGCTTTAATTCTTTTTCAGTGGAAATTGTTTGATCTTGATACTTTTAAATTTATATTCCATTCTGGTTGCATTGGATTGGTTGCAGTCTAAGTTTAGGTTTGGCTGTGCTGCTAAATAAATGCAGATTTTCTTGTCCTAGCAGTGTTTTCTCAGCCACATTATAGTTGAGTTTCTTTAGATGCATTTTTAGAGCTTATTTGAAAATCAACCATGTTGTGGGCCGGGCACGGTGGCTCACACCTGTAATCCCAGCACTTTGGGAGGCCAAGGCACGTGGATCACAAAGTCAAGAGATTGAGACCATCCTGGCCAACATGGTGAAACCCTGTCTCTACTAAAAATATTTTTAAGATTAGCTGGGCGTGGTGGTACATGCCTGTAGTCCCAGTTACTTAGGAGGCTGAGGCAGGAGAATCACTTGAACTTGGGAAATGGAGGTTGCAGTGAGTTGAGATCCTGCCACTGCACTCCAGCCTGGTGACAGAGTGAGACTTTGTCTTAAAAAAACAAA